CCGCGCCATCCGCCGGCACTTCTGCGCGACGACAGCCAACTGGCCGCCGACGGACCAGGCGATTTTTCCCCGAGCTGTGCGTGCCACCGAAAACGTACAATAGCCCCGGGCTCGGGGAGAAACACTTTCGAAGCATTTTCAGGCCGCCAGCGTCGTGGCTGCCGACACGCCGCGCGCCGACCGAGAGACTAGCTGGGTCCACTACGTCCACGGCGGCGGGCGGGCGCCCAAAAGAGCTGTCGCCACGGTGCGCGCGGCGGGGCGCCCGCCCAACTGCAACCGCAAATGCGGCCTCCATGGCGCCACAGGCGTAATATATGTGACGCATTCTCGGGCCCCCCATCAGCGCATTGACCAGCGCCCAAGCCCCTGAAACGCAAACCTACTGTGCCCCCCGTGCAAGCCGCGCGCCCGCTCACAATGCTCGTACACACCAGATTTTCTGCCCGCCATCAACAGTTTAATTGAGCGCCCATGTGTTACTTGGGCTCCTCAAGCCCTCGAACATTCTTTGGGAACTTCTGCGAATGCGCGCGCTGCGCTCCACAAGTCGGCGTTCTATTTTTCTCTGGAACTCTCACAGAATCTCTGGTTCCGATTTGTCCCGATCTTCCGCTCAACTGACCCCCCCCTCCCAGCTCGACGTCGCTCGGACGTCCACCCCCCCGTGCATGTTTGTCGGCTTCGCGCGCTTTTTTTCACCAGAAAGAACAGGAGGCCCATCGATGGCCCTCTCGCGGAGAAAAAGAAAGCACACGCCCGAGCGAGTTTGAGACATATAGTGCAGGCCAGTCCACGAGAAACCTTCCACAAGAAACCGAACCCTGAGACACCAGGGCGCCCCCTGATGTTCGGTGTGGGAACGCCACGCTTTCCACAGCAGAACCATCGAGGCCCGAGAAACCCAGTTCCCTTGAGGCAAGCAAGGTGCTTCTTGGCATGGGTCTCCACCTTTGTGGGCCCCGGAAACGGCAGAGCCGTTTTTTCACCGTTTCCCCAAAAATGCCCCTTGAACATTGAAACGGCAAAAAAAACTGCGACCGGAAACATTAAAAAACGGCTCCAAGATTGGAACCGGAGCTGGAACCGGTCGAAAAACGGCAAAACGGAACCGGCAACAAAAACTGCGTCGGAACCGGCAAACAAAAACTGCAAAACGGAACCGGTAAAAAAACGGCCCTGTCGTTTCCAAGGCCCACTAAGGTCTCCACTGCGTGTGCTCCCCGGAGCTGGCCCGCTGGGGGACCAGGGGGAGGGCCGGCTGCCCCAGGATGCCCGCCTGCCCGCGGCTGCTGCTGGCTGCCGAGGGGCACCTGCAAAGGGGCCCGGGGACACACAAATACACAAACACACATCCCAGGATTCCCAGTATCTTCCCGTATTTTCTGGATTCTCGACTCCCCCCCCTTTTCCCACATCTTTCCACGCTCTGCTGGGGATCGACGATGGATTGTGTCTGCGATTTGTCCCCCCTCCTGAATATGAGGCCTCAAGGTGGCGCGAGCAGCAGGAACTGGGGAGAGCAAAAGGTACCGATACTGCTACTCCCCGGACCTCCCCCGGGGTGCATTCCGACCTGAACTTCGAGGCGCATCCAGCGGTGGCGACGAGGGCCGCCCAGGAGGCCCCAAAGAGGGGAAAACGAGCGAAGGGTCGCGGTGTGAGTGCGGTGCCTTTTCCTCGGCGCTTCGTCCGACGCTCGGCAACGACCTCGAGAGCCTCCCCCCCCGGACAGGGCGCCTGATGTCCCCGGACACCTTCGCCTCCGGGCCTCGGCGCGCCGCCCTCTCTATCGCGCGCGCGCGACCTCGCGCGCGACATCGCCCGCGCGGGCGCTGCGCCCGCCACGCCCTCTCTCGGACCGCCCTCTGCGCCCCCCCTCCGAAGACGGAGCCGGGGAGGACGACAAGATGAAGTCGGGCCTGCCCCTCTACAGGAGGGAGAACTCTTCAGAAGCACTCAAACAATAATCGGGGGATGATGTTTTAGGAATTATTGTTTTACTATGTTGGAATATGTTTGGGGAATGCTTCATTGGTCCTCCAAACTCCGCCTGGAGGGGGACATGCCCGACCTAACGATAAAATCGGGTGAGGAGAGGTTGAGAATCTTTGAGATCCTGGCGGCCGGTGTCTCGGGCGCCGCGGCCTCCTCGGAGCGTTCCGGAGCGCTCCGAGAGCGTTCCAGCACGCCCCGGAACGGCTTTATCCTCGCCCTGGCCCCGTCCGAGTGGTAGAGGAAGCGGGGATTAAGAGGAAGAGGGGGGCAAGAGCGGGGCAAGAGGACGAGGGGGGCAAGAGGACGAGAGGGGGGGCAAGAGGAAGAGGGGGTAAGAGGAAGAGCGCTCTGGAACGCTCTGGAACGGATTCGTCTTCGTCCTGGCCCCGTCTGAATTACCCCCCCCCTCCGACCTCCTCCGCCCTTTCGGAGGGCCAGCCGAGACAACGCCGCCCTCTCCTCGCACGCTTTGCCCCCTCTGGGCCCTCCGGCAGGCCTCTCGTCGCCGCGGGGACGACCCGCTCCGAGAGGCGGATCGGCACGGGCCCCCCGGAGGAGTCCGGGGACCGGCTCGGTCCGGGTGCGAGCCGGGCGGGAGAGCTGCTGGCGCCTCGACTGGCCCTCCGAGGCGGATCCTTCGGACCCTGCTCGCCGACGGCCTGGCCTTTTCCCAGTCCAGCTGGGCGCCGAGGTCCTCGCCGTTCCCTCCTGCCGAGTCGATCTTCTCATCCTCCCCCTCCTCACTCCCTCCTCCCTCTTCTCTCCCTCCTCGTCCCTCCTGTCTCCCCCTCCCTCCCTCCCTCTCTCTCCCTCCCCCTCCCTCCCTCTCCCTCTCCCTCCCTCTCCCTCCCCCTCCCCCCTGGAGGGCGATACATGGGGGGGGGAAGGTGCAAATGCCCCCTCCTGGGCCCGAACGGCCCCCTCTTGGGCCCAAGAGGGCAGCTTTTTGGCGCCGCTTACGGGGAGGGGGGGCGATAAATGGGGGGAGGAACGTACACGTTTCGGGCCCTCAAGGCCCCCCTTTGGGGCCCTATACGGGGCCCCACCTCCAGGGGCCCTATATAGGGCACTTTTTTCTTAAGCGACCGCGCGCGAACCCTAACCCTGCAAGTCACAGTTCTGATGAACTGGCTGGGGTTCAGAATGACTCCCGCAGCCACATGAACCTTAGCGAAGGTGTCCCCTCACCCCATCACTGTGGCCATGGGCCTATGTACCGAGACTTGTCTACCTCTGAAAACGGTAACTTTACCTGAGAGGCCCCGCCAACCTGGACGCGAAGGGCCCGTTCGATATTCCCTGGCGGCTCCCTCTCCTGCGAAGCCCAAACGCGGGGCTTGCTACGTCGCGTTGAACATGGGGCTGTGAACTGAGACCCGTCTACCTCCGGAAACTGCAAAATACATGAGAAACCTCGCCCGCTTTAACGAAAATAAATTCGGGTAATACCCCACGCTGACCCACCTTTCCGGAAGATGAAATGCGATGACTGCAACATCTCGGTGATAGTGCAATCGAGTGATAAGCAAACCTGAATGCGAGTGTGTGCGAAAGCGGGCGACCAAGAGCACGATTTGGTCTGAATGATAATGGTTCAATTAGAGCCCCGCACATGTGAGTCTGACTCTGAGTGAATCTGACTATGCTTGGGTCACAGGCGAATGGGCCTGAACAAACAAATATTACTGATGATGGGTGGTCCGGAGATGAACTGATTTGCGTATGAGTAGGTATGTGTAGAAAACGTCAAAATGTGGACGGTCAGACAAGCGGGCCTGAATACGACCCGAGCTGTGTATGGATTGGCCCGAGGGTAAATTAATCAGAATACCGGCGAGTCCGATTGCGAGCGCATCAGAATGCTCGTGGGTGTGAGTGGTCTGGTTATGCTTCAGTTTGGTTACGAATGCATTCGTCTTAACGTGAGGATGCGTATGACTCGCAGGTATGCGTGCGAGTGGTTCCCAGCGCGAGGGGGTATGAGTGAGATGGGGTGTGGGCGTGAGTGGGTCTAAATATGAGCACTGCGTGAGTGACAAAGCAAGGACGAAAACAAGGGAGCGGGACGAAGGAATAGTGAGGGGCGGAGGTGCGACACAAGCACACAACACACAGTGCGGAGGCGGGCATGTGGGACAAACAGAGGACGAGAAAGGGGGTGGAACAAATAAGGGGAGTGGGAAGGGAAGAGGGGAGGGAAGAAGAGGAGGCTGGACAACAATGCCCAACAACAAATGTTGTCCAAAACCGACAGCGGCCGCTGTCGGGTAGGCGGCTTTTGTCTTCAATGAACGACGCCCGCGGCGGCGCGGACAGCGAGTACTGTTCAAAATGAGCCATTATTTCCGCATACCATTTCGATCGTCCCTAGGCCTGCCTGACCTGCTCCTCCCAAGAAGGCTCTGGAAGTCCAAGGATGCCAGCTGGTCTCCAGAAAGGTCCCCAGCAATTTCCGGATGCCCCCGAGGCCTCCAGAAGCTTCCGGAGGCCTCGAGAAATACAGAAGCGCCCAAACAAGCATGATCGTTGATTAGGATGTTCGTGCCTTCTCCTCTTCCTCCCCGGAAAGCTTCAGGAAGGCCAAATGAAAGCACGTCAATCGCATGGGCCACGAACCTCGACCCTAGGTCCTAGGACCCGCAAGTCTTCAAGAGTGCGCAGAACCAGACAACTCCAAGACCCCGTGGGCGCACAACGCTTGACGACCGTCCCCCCCCCCCTGCTCCCCCAGTGACGCCCACTACTCGGGAGGAACCCAGGAAGGAGGAGATGGAGGAGTCCACGAGGGGGGCACGCACATCAAGACACAAGGCACGCGTGCGCCTGGGGCGGGGTGGGGGGGGGGGCAAAGAGCCATCCCGAAAGAAGGGTCGTGCCACGAGATCCAGGGGGGTACCAAGACCCCTGTCCCGATATCCACGCCCTCTGATACTTGGCGGCACGCAGGGCGGAGAAGGACGACGAGGAGGAAGAGGAGGAAGAGGAGGAGACGCCGCCTCACGTCACCCCTGCCGCGCCGGCCGGCCTGAACCGTGAGCGGGCCTCTGCCCCCGCTGGGGCAGGGTTGGACCTAAACGTCCCCCCCCCCTGCGCGTGGCTGGAAAATCCCCACCCCACCTAATTTGGCCAGGAGGAATGTCCAAGAGGCGGGCTCAGCCGTGACGCCCGTGCCCTCTGTGGAGGTCCTCGAGGCGCCTCGCCATCCCTCGGACGTCCATTCCATGTGCATTTTTCAATGTCGTGCGTGTTGTTTTCTGTTGCTCGATGATCCAGGATGCCACTCGATGGCCCTCGCCGAGGGAAAACTGCACACGCCCGAGCGATGCCACTATGTCACAGGAGGCGGGCTCCGCAGTGATGCCCGCGCCGTCCGTGGAGGTCCTCGAGGCACGGGCGCGGCGGCGCCGCCACCGAGCCCCCCGCAGATCTGGTTCAGCGAGCCCTGCGGCGGGGGGAGGGGGCAAGGGTAGGGGGGGGGACTGGCATCGGGGTGGATGCATCGAGGTTGTGGCCACCGGACCCCTATCGGCGATCAATGGGCGATTCGGAATCGATGCGTCCCCCCCCCCCTATGCCTATCCGCCCCCTACCGTTGCCCCTGAGGGGGGAGGGCGGCCGGGATCGCGCCGGGGCGGCGCAGGGCCGCCCGTCGGAGGGGGGCTCGAAAGCCGGGGTGCGGAGAGGATCGCGCCGTGGACCGGCCAAAACAAAAACATACTGCTTTTCGCTTTCGTTGTGTGTTCGTGCTTCCTCGTCTTGTCTTCCGTACGCCCTTGCTGCAAAGCGAAAGCGAAGCGAGAACGGCCCACGAACTCGCCCAACACACACACACACACCTACACACACACACACACACACGCACACACGCACACACCGTTGAGGTCAACCCCTGGATCGCACGGGAGCAAAAAGAACTACCATCGGCGGCGTGCAAGCCAACGCACGCTGTCTACTACCCGCAACATCCGCGCGGGCGGCCTGGTGATGCACGCGCCCGCGGCTTCGTCGCCCCACGCCGCGCCCACGAGCCAGCAGGCGGAGGATCTCGCGAGCACACAGAAAACCACCATCGCCGTTCTTTGAGCCAGCACGCGGTGAATGTCATCTGCAACATCCGCCCACGCGCACGCAACTTCGTCGCCCAAGCCAGTAGGGGCCACAGGGCTGGACCCTGAGGCGAAGCTTCCTTGGAGAACCCGCCTGGCCTCGCTTACGCGCCTGAAGTGCCTCACCTCCTCCTTCTCGGGCAGCGCTTCCCCGCTGTGCTGTGGACGCGTCCCAGCCCAGGCTTGCCTTTTACCCAACCATCATGTGTTGTTGGGTCCTCCTTTTTGAAGATACAGCACCCCGCGTCCTCCTTCTCCCGCTGCCCTCCACGAGTCCGTGTCGGCAAACCCCTCCCACGCCCCGTGGCCCCATAGGGAGCTGCGCCGAAGACCTCAGCGGTGACATCCGCATGTGGGCGTCGCGCTCGTTTCGTCACCCCCATGCTCCACCTAAGGCCCGAGTGCCGACGTTCACATGTGAGCGCCACGCGCGTTTCGGCACACCTCAAACACAGACACACATACACACAAACACACACACACACACACCACAAGCACAAACACGAACACACACATACACACATACACACATACACACATCCACACATGCACACACACACACACTCACACTCACACTCACTCACACACATGCACATTCACGCACACACGCACACACGGTCATACCCGCCCGCCCGCACGCACGCTCGCACGCTCGCACGCTCGCACACGCACACACACACACATTTACACACGCACACGCACGCACACGCACGCACGCACACACAAAACACACACACACACACACGCAGATCTATATATCTATATGTATGTATATGTATGTATGTATATGTATGTATGTATGTATGTATGTATGTATGTATGTATATATATATATATATGCCACATTGGGAGCTGCGCCGAAGGCCGAGCTGCGACGTTCGCATGTGGGTGGCACGCTTGTGTCAGTACACCCCTCGCATGTGTCGTGGCCCCATGGGGGGCTCCACCCAAGGCCCGTAGTGAAGACATTCCCATTTGGACGTCACGCCCTTTTCGGCAGACCGCTCACACGGCTCGTGGCACCTTACGGAATTTTACCTAAGGCTTCCCGGGCAACGTTCGCATGTGGGCGTCATGCCCTTGCCGGCACAACGCTCACACGTTTCGTGGCCTCATGAAGAGCTCGACGTCGTCGTCGTCGTCGTCGTCGTCGTCGTCGTCGTCGTCATGATCGTGGTCAGGGCGAGTTGCGGCAACGGCAGCTCAGAATGGGCCCGCGGATCCCCGAGCCGGTTTTCCGAGCTGCGTCCGGCCGCGGCGACGAGGGGGGCCCCCGAGGGGGGCCCCCGAGGGCATCTCATGTGGCCTCAGCGTGTGCGGCCACATGAGATGCCCCACCCATGTCGGCACACCCCTCGCACGTTCCGTGGCCCCGTTGGGAGCTCCACCGAAGGCCCCTGTGGCCCAATTGAGAGCTCCACCGAAGTCGATACTCACGACTGCGGTGCTCGCAACTGCATATGGCTGGGTGCTTCGCCAAGATCATGCTGCTGTTTGTTGGTTGGTGTGTGCGTCTGCCCGGCTTGGGCGTTCCCAGGAACGCTGGCACGCACCCTCCTGGGCCCGACGTTCACATGCTGCACGCCTTCCCCAGACGCCTGCCCCCCCTGGACATGCTCCCTGCAGCATGCCTCAGCGCCGACTTGCGTCGTGGGGGCAGCCCCAAAAGACGCGGGGAAGACGGGGCACTGAGTTAATGGGCGGGTCAGCAGCTGCCTGACCAAGGCGTTACAGCATTGAACAATCGATCCGCCGTAAGAGGTGAATGAGTAGGGGCGAGGAGTAAAGAAGGACTAGCAGCAGCAGCAGGGAGGAAGAGGGAAGAGGATGATTAGGAGGAGCAGGATCAAACGCAGGGGCATGCGCGGGAGCAGGATAAGGATGCGGATCATCAGCAGGAGAAGGGGAGGCAGGAATGAGGGAAACAGGAAGGGTACGAAATGAGGCAATTTGAGGGTAAGAGTGGGGGATGACGTGGAAGAAGAGGACCAGGATCCGGAGGGAGGAAGACCAGAAGGTTAAACGACACCATGGAGGCCACGGCACGCAAGGAGGACACAATCCTCGTCGCCGTCATCGTCGCGAGTTACCTCTTGGAGTTGGCCCGTTTGGGGGCTAGGGCTGGCAAGCTGCCCGATTATGTCTACCCTCCCGCGGTTTCTAGACAAGCGCGTCCCACTACTCCATTACTCGCGAAGTAACTACTCGCAAATGGCCTGGACCCGCCACAGGGGATTAACGATCCATTTCATGTAGGAAGACATGTTTTGTTCGAACGTTTGTTAGTAGGCTGTTTGCGATTAGCGGAACGCGCTCGGTGAGTATCGGCTGCCGACAGGCATCTGAGGCCTCAACGTGGCGTCAAGATGGCTCAAAAGAGCCCTAAATGCCCCCGATGCCCCAAGAGAATGTCGAGAGGGCCACACTATGCCGCCATGTCCCTGATTGGGCCTGTATGTCTCGAAGCAAGCTCCAACGCTTGTTGTAATGAGCTGTCCAAAGGATAATCCCTCCGTCGGTACGCCTCGTTCCCTCCTCTGATTTGTTTTGATGTGTTCGTGGTGACTGCTCAACAGGATCTCTGGTTGTCTGCGCATTCCGTATTTTCACGCATATTCGCGAGAACAGAGCTCGTCACCTTGGCACGTTCGATCGATTTCGCCGTGACCATCACGCCCGTCAGATTTCGGCCAAAACGACATACTCGACATCTTCATCCTCAGTGGTAAGGCTCCGGGTTACGCACAGACAGCCGTCCCCTGGCAGTGACGGGCAACGATAGGGGGGACTGGCGTAGGGGTGTATGCAACGACCTGGAATCAGCGATACATCGCCGATAGATCGGCGATAGGCCTCCGATCGTGAATCCGCACCTTCCTGGGCATGTTGGGGCTATCGGGCCCCTATCGGCGATCAATCGGCGATTGGGGGTCGATGCATCCCCCCCTATGCCTATCCCCCCCTATCGCTGCCCCTGAGGTAGTCCTGCCTGGCCTCAGCAGACCCCCCGAGTAGCCGGTGGCGGTCTCCACACCTCACCCTGAGGCGCCCCCCCCCGGGTGAAAGGCCGAGACCGCCTCCAACTGCTCGGGGGGCGGGGGGCCTGCTGAGGCGAGCCGGAGCCGGGACTGGAACGGCCGCCACCTATGGCCCCGGCGGGCTAGTCGTATAAGTCGGGCCCGTCCCTCTGCAGGGTGAATCCGCCGATCTGGCGTGTGGGTTTCTGAGAGCGTGTGCTTGAGCTCGCTCAAGCTTCGCTCTGCAAGGGGGGGGGGGCGCAAACGACGAAAGAATTGACACGCAAGGCCTCCCCAATGCCGGGACCGCCCCCACCCCCCCCTTGCACCTTCCTCTCCGGCGCCCCCCACATCTCTTCCTGCCCCCCCTTCCCCTGCAATCTCCTCTCCGCCCCCCTCCCACCCTCTTCCTGCACCCCCCCCCGCCTCTGCACCTTCTTTTGCCCCCGGCCCCCCTCCCCTGCACTGCGCCCTGGACAGGTGGACTGGGGAGAGGGGGGGGAGGGGAGGAGAAAGGAGAGAGAGGGGGGGGTGGACAGGAGAGAGGAGGGGGGGGACAGGGGGAGAGGGGGGGAGGGGGGGGAAGGGAGAGAGGGGGGGGGGGCAGGAGAGAGGGGGGGGGGCGAAAGGAGAGGGGGGGCGGACAGGAGAGAGGGGGGGGAGGGACAGGAGGGGGAGGGGGGGCAGGAGAGAGGGGGGGGAGAAAGGGAGGGGGAGGGACAGGAGAGAGGGGGGGGGACAGGAGGGGGGGGACGGGAGGGGAAAGGAGAGGGGGGGGAGGGGACAGGAGAAAGGGGGGGGGCAGAAAGAGGAAGGGGGTTGGGGGGGGGCCAGGATCATCACCACCTCCATCACCAATCACCATCACCATCGTCTCATATCACATCATCATCATCATCACCATCATCATCATCATCTATCATTCATCATCATCATACACCACCACCACACCATCACACCATCACCATATCATCATCATCATCATCATCATCATCATCATCATCATCATCATCATCATCATCATCGTCATCATCATCATCATCATCACCATCACCATCACCATCATCATCATCATCATCATCATCATCATCATCATCATCCGGAGCGCCCCGGATCGGCGGCACTGGCCGGAAGCCACTACAGTAGTCAAACATAGTAAAAACATCTGGGGACGATTCTGTTTAGCATGGTTTGCCTATTTTTGAATTGTTTTGGAGTATTTGGTATTTTTCGTCCATAATCCGCCTGTAGGCTAGTCCTTAGTTGTTCTTACAAGCGCTGCACCGGCCGGGCCCAACACGAGCAAAAAACAGCAGCCCCAAACGGAAACAAAATGGTAGCCCAAAGCAGACAACAGGTGACAGAAACAGGACACAAAACACAAACAACGGCATGCAAATACAATGAGAACACGGATCGCAAAACGAACCGAAAACGGCGAGACAACAATCCTGAAACGGAGATACAACGGCACCCAAAACAGAACAAAACACGCCAGCGTGTTTGTTTTAAAGGACATCGGAAGGCTGGTCTGAGAGAAAGCCAATGTGACCCTCCAGAAACCAGCCCCAGGGAACCCTGCCCGACGCCTGGGCCGGCGGGCCAGCGGGCGCGGGCAGGGCTAGGTCGGGCATGTCCGCCTCCAGGCGGATCTTGAATACAAATCAAAAATAGGATCTTGGAAGGAAAATCAAGAACAGTAAACACATACCCCAGAATAATCGAAAGAGGTGGAAATTTCGTCCCCAGACGATGTCTATGTTTGAATTATGTTTAAACATTCCTTCTGTAGAGGGACATGCCCGACGCAAGGCCAGGATCCTCCTCCTCCTCCTCCATCTCCTCCTCCTCCTCCTCCTCCTCCTTCTCCTCCTCTGGGGAGGGCGGCGGAGCGTGCCGTGGCGCACTCGATCTGCGTGGGTTTCATGTTGGAGCCCACGGAGAAGCCGTACCTGGCCCCAGGGGGGTCTGCGCGAGTCGGGGGCGCGCAGACATGGCTTGGCGATCCGTGGGTGTGGCGCAAGTTCGCCAAATCCATGGGGGAGCTGCCTCGTTGGAAGACAGCCGTTTGAAGACCCTGAAAGATGCCAGAACATTGTTCTCGGGATTTTCACGCCACGGATCAACCTGACTGCTGCGTCCTGCCCTCCCCAAAATGCGGCCGGTGCCGCTCGCTCGGCGGCGGAAATCCGCGATTTCCCACGGGAACGGGGCCCGTCGCTAGTCCACGGAGTCCACGCGCCCCCGTAGTCCTTGTTTGCCAACGCCTGAGCGAGGGGGCCCTCGCGACGCGGCGGCAGCACGAGCGTCAGGTCGGGCGTGTCCCCCTACAGGCAGTTTGCGGGCGAGAAATTCAGACTACCTGAAACGAACATTTGCCCAAATAGTCAAACAATCGTCCCCACCCAATTTTTCAGCTGTCTCTGAACTGCCCTCCTGGAGAGGCACAGGCCCGACCTGACACAAGCGGCGGCGCGCCTCCGGGGGAGGGGGCAGAAGGGGGCCGCGCCTGCCCAGCAGGCGCAGACAGGGCCTCCGGCCTGCCGAGAAGACGCTCTCGAGGCCTGCTCCGCAACCGCAGGAGGGACAAGCGCGTGCCACGACTCCAGGAGAACAAAAAGTATCATAAACATAAAAACTCGGAGGTCCGCGCGGACCTCCGAGTTGTTATGTTTATGTCACTTCGTATTCCCCTAGACTGGCAGAAGGCAAATGCTCGCAGGTGGTCTGGATTCGCCCCCGGCCTTCCGAGAAGCTCTCGAGGCCTGCTCCGCAACCGCAGAGAGGCAACCGCGCTCCACGACTAGCAGGAGGCGAGTGCTCGCAATGAGCCTGGATCCTCCGCGGGGAGTCACGGTCCCCAATGTGGAGGCGAACGTGTTTTCCGAACGCTTGCGAGTAGGCATTTTGTGCGAGCAGTGGAACGCGCTCGGTGAATAGAAGGCTTCCCAGGAGGCCGCAGGGCTTCCGAAGAGCCCCGCCGATCGCCCAACGTGCTCGACGAGACTGCAAGGGGGACACCTACGTGTAGTGCCTCCCCCCCCCACCCCCCTGGGGATCGCGCGCGCGAGAGGGAGCAACGGCGGGGTGGGGTGGTCGGAAATGGGGCGAGGCCGCCCATGCTTGCAGATCGCCCTCCTACTCCTCCTCGTCCTGCCCGAGGGGGCTCGATTGGACAAGGCGTGAGCTCCAGCGCTGTCGGCGCGCTGCCACACCCAGGCGCACGTTGACGCCGCGAGCCGATGTCCAGACACACCCCCTGCCACTCAACGGAGTATACATTCAGACCGTGTGCATACAGTGTATATCTGCGCGTATGTGTGACGGTACGTGTATGATGTAAACATTCCCCAGACAGAGCTTGCACGTTGAGGTTCCTACTTGTTGCTAAGGAACTGGACATGCCTGTCAGTCTGGCGGCGATGTTGCCGCCGTCGCCGCCCCGTCGTCGCCTCGTCGCCGCCCGTCGTGTGGGCCTGTCGGTCGGTGACCGCGCGTGTTGCCGCCCCATCGCCGCCCCACATAGTATGGCACAACATAGGTTGCACAACCTAGATTCTCCTGCCTAAAAGAAGAATAGACTCTACCCCCCCCCGGCGTTATCCGCCCCCCTTTCGGGTACGTAAATCATATCTGATTATGGCCACATGTCCATCCTACATATGGATTTACACTATCCCAGGGGGCCAGTAGTATCGCCCCCCTGAGGTTCCCCGGTAAAAAACAAGAAGCGGGGACACCTGTTGTTCTAACATAACACTTGTTCACGAATCCCTTTTGCAAAAAACGGGACGAAATGCACACGCGCGCGTCGTCGCGCGCGCATGCGTCGCGCGCGCATGCCGAGATCCATCAAAAACCTTCGGTGTCGAAACGATTTCGCAACCGAGTTCACAAACAAAAACATACACACAGGGTTTCGCAACACTGACTTGCTCAAAAAGCCTACGCGCGAGCTCTTGCGAAATCTTAAGAAAACCATAGGTTCAACATTTTCACAAAATGCTACCAAACGGGCTTCGCGCGCGCATGTCGAAATCTGTCGAACGCCCTTGCGCGTGTGCCGTCGGGAGAATCCCCTGCAAACAATGGGACGAATGGCAGACGCGCGCGTCGTCGCGCGCGTATGCCAAAATCCTTCAAACACACCCGGTTTCGGAAGGATTTCAAAATCGTGTGTCCAAAAAGCCTACAAAAACACAAAGTTTCGCAATACGGAGTTTCAACAAAAGCGTGCGCGCGCGCTCTTACGTCGTCGGCGTCGTCGTCGTCGCCGTCCTCCCTCCTCCGTCGTCGTCGTCGGCGTCGTCGTTCTCTGTTTTTCCTCGTCGTCGTCGTCTTGGCGTCGTCGTCGTTTCCGTCGTCGTCGTCGTTTCGTCGCGAGCACCCTCTGCAAAAAATGAGACGAAGTGCAGACGCGCGCGTCGTCGCGCGCGTACGCCAAAATCCTTCAAAATCCATCGGCTTCGGAAGGGTTTCAACACCGTGTGTCCAAAAAACCTACAAAAACACAAGGTTTCGCACCACGGATTTTCAACGAAAGCGTGCGCGCGCGCGCTCTTGCCTCGTCGGCGTCGTCGTCGTCGTCGCCGTCCTCCCTCCTCCCGCGTCGTCGTCGTCGTCGCCTACGTCGTCCTCCGTCTTTCCTCGTGTTCGTCGTCGTCGTCCTCTTTGGCGTCCTGGTCGTTTCCGTCGTCGTTGTCTCCGTGGTCGGCCTTCCTCCTCCTCCCTCGTCGTCGTCGTCGTCCGTCGTCGGCGTCTCGTCGTCGTCCCTCCTATTTCGTCGCTGTCGTCGTCGTCGTCGTTGTCGTCGTCGTCTTCCCTCCTCCCCCGTCGTTGTCGTCATCGGCATCGTCGTCATCGGCATCGTCGTTCGCGTCGTCGCCGTCGCCGTCCTCCCTCTTCCCTCGTCGTCGTCTTCGTTGGCGACGTTGTCGTCGTCTTCGTCGTCTTCGTCGTCGTCGTCGGCGTCGTCGTCGTCTTCGGCGTCGTCGACGTCGGCGTCGTCGTCGTCGTCGCCGTCGTCGTCGTCGTCGTCGTGGTCGGCGTCGTTGACGTCGTCGTCGTCGTCGGTGTCGTCGTTGTCGTCGTCGGCGTCGTCATCGTCATCGTCGTTGTCATCGTCGTCGTCGTCGTCGGCGTCGGCATCGTCGTCGTCGTCGGTGTCGTCATCGTCGTCGTTGTCGGCGTCGCCGAAGTCGTTGGATACGTCGTCGGTGTCGTCGTGGTCGTTGTCGGCGGCGTCGTCGTCGTCGTTGTCGCTGTCGTCGTCGGCGTCGCTGTCGTTGCCAAGTGCCATTTGGTACCCACCGTCACGGTCTTAAGAGATTTTGCAAACCAAGTTGCGGGTGGGTGGGTGGGATGTTTGCAAGAGCATGGGATGTGTCAACGCGTTTGTTAAAATCAACTGCACCACATAGACTGCACCATCTATATCGCTCCGCATGTATTGCAGCGCATATATTGTTGCTGATAGGTCGCACCACCAACCTTGCATCATATCGACTGCACAACTTAGCTTGCACCACACTGACTGCTCCGCAGGGATGGCACAACGTGGATTGCACCACTTATATGGCACCGCATAGATGGCAACACATGCATAAACACCTGTCTTGCACCACATTGACTGATTCACATCGGTTGCATGACATATATCCGCACCACACCACATGCTCTACATATTAGTACACCATATATTCTACCACCTAGTGCACAACATACATTGAACTCACATAACGCTCCACCCAGATTGCACAGCATGGGTTGCACCAGAAAGATGGCAGCAAATATTCTGCACCAGACAGCTTGGTCTACATAGATGGCACCACAGACATTGCAAACATGTACTATGCCGCATGGTTTGCTTCGCACTTATTACTGGAAGCACACTGGCGTAGGTCCACGCTGGCTAACACATACATGCAAACATCGAAAGAGACGAGAGATACAGAGAGAGAGAGAGAGAACATAATCAAACGCTTAAACGTACAACAACTGAGGACGGAATGGGAATGCGAGAGAGGGAGGGAGGAAGATAGGAAGAACGGGAGGGGTGAAGTGGAGGAAGGATGTACGCGGGAAGGGATGGGAGGAGGGTGGCAATGCAGGGAAAGAAAAGACGAGAGGGGAGGATGGGAGAAAGAGAGGAAAGGGGGAGGGGAAGGGAGATGGGAAAGAAGAGAGGGAGGGGAAGGACGCATGGGGGGAATCATCGAGGAGAGGAACGGAGGAGGAGGGAAGGAGGGAGGGGAGATAGGAAGAGGAAGGGAGGGAGTGACAGGGAGGGAGAGGAAGGACGGGGATTGAGGGAGGGAGGGAAGGGGGCAAACTACCACCTTGGGCCGCAGGCCGTGGTGAACCCAGCACGGGCGCCCCCGCGTCTCGGGCCGAGGAGAGCGCCCGTTCTCGCTGGGGTGCGGCGCGAAGTCCTCGTAAAACCGGCGCTGTATCAGGTTCAGGCCCTCGGCCGGGGGCAGAAGGACGAGGAGGAGGGGACGAGGAGAGGGAGAGGGGCCAGGAAAGGGATGGACTCGTTGTGCCAAAACGCGGCCACGCGCTCCAAAAACACGTGGCCTGCCCTTTCCGGCTGTGCACACGCCGCCACCGGCGCGCAATACGCCACTTCCGCATCGCGTTTGGCGATCGGGTGACCCCAGTGGGCCCGCACCAAAGGTCACTCCGGCGAAGGGCCACTCTTACGTGTGATCGACCCTGAATCGGTTTCTGGCGGCCACGGGCCCGAAAGGGGCGCCGAGTGGCGGAAATAACAGAAACGTCTCCCGATCCTCCTCGATCCTCCTCCCGACAAGGGTGCAGAGCAGAAGGACGCCTGGATCCTCGGTCATGAACCCCTTCTCCTCCTCCTCGTCCTTCTCGATCAGATGGCCCGCACCAACGGTCACTTCCGCGAAAGGTCACTCTTACGAGTAGTCGACTCTGGCACCCCTGAATGGCCACATCGCCGGGCGAGGCTATAGACATGGAAGACGTGGCGAAAGCTTCGCTTCTCCAGCTCCAAACCTCGAACATCCTCCATCCATGGAACCTGGAACGTGGAACCTTCGAAGAAGAAAACACGGCATGAACATCAGAGTGAGGGGGCCGAACAGTCATTCATTGTCCCTGGGTGCGTGGCTGAAGTGGGAATATGTGGTGACGATTATGTTTGTTGGGTTGTTGGTGTTACTGTTGTAACTGAGGTTGTTGTTGTTGCTGTTGCTGTTGAGCTCTCACTGCTGTTGCTGTTGAACTCTCCCTTCTGCAGAATAGTTATTGTTGATCCCCCCCACCGGTGCATACTGTTTTTCCTGAATCAAATTGTGCTCCTCGACGCTCGCACCCTGTTTTTTGACAGGCATACACATAAACAACGCAATCCTCCAAGTCTGGATGCTCAAACGGGGCCCCTGTCCCCCGGGTTACCCCCCCCAAATCGACGGCAAAACACGCTAAACAACAACGGCTCCCCGCCTTAGACTTCCATACAATTTAGCCAAACAGAAAAGACCCCCAACCACCCTGCGCCGCCCGATACTGTCCTCCGAGACGCTAAAAAAAAGATTCGAACCCTCTAAACACAAACACCCACAACACCACCAAAAACCCACCCCCCCACAATACACGCGCTCTGGAACGAACCCCGCCTACAGAAGGACCGAATACTCCCTAGCCAACCCCCATCAAGCTGCAGAAACAGTTCCAACCACATAATAAACCCACCCCACCTAAGGAATCGCGCTCCTCGCTTGGACTTTTTTCGATGTATTTTTAAGGGGGAGGTCGATGAAAGGGGAGGCAAGGAGAAGCTGGAGGGGAATGGCTCTCCCCCGGCCTTCTGGCGGGGGGAGAGTCGCGCTCTCGCTGGAGATTCGTTTTCAAATTACCCAAGAATATGGTCCTTGCGTTGGGATTCCCTTCAATTTGCTCAAGCGCCGCGCTCCCGACACTCACGCGCCCAGGAGTCGCGCCCGTTGTGGCCCCATGTGCGTGCCCTTCGTGGCCCCGCTGTCGCCGTTTGTGGCCTCCTCACTGTTCTACGTGGCCCAGTTGGTATCCTCAGTGGCCCCCATCGTTACCTTCTGTGGCCCCGCATTATCTGCCCTTCGTGGCCCCCGCTCGTTCGCGCTCTTCGTGGCACCATACGCATTCCCTTCGTGTCCCCGCTGTCGCCCGTCGTGGCCGACTTCGTGTCCTTAGTGGCCCTGCTGTCGTTCTCTCTCGCTCTCGCTTTCGCTCGGCGTCGCCGTCGTCGTCGACGTCGTTGTCGTCGTCGTCGTGGTCGGTCCCCTGTCCGTACCTCTTGAGGTGTGGTCGACGGTCCGCGGGCGCCCCGCCGATTAGCGCTGCCGCTGGCCAGGCCGACGGTCCGCGGCCGCCCCGCCGCTTGCCGGGGCCCGGCCTGCAGGGAAGAAAGGTATACCCCCCCAAAGGGGTTCGATCGAAGACGAAAAGGGCGGGTATCGAGGGTTTGGGAAATACTCGTCATTGGACACTCGAGCAGATAAGGGCGAACAATGTTAGAATGATTGTTGTTGTTGTCGTTGTTGTTGTCATTGCTGTTGTTGCAATTGTTGTTGCTGTCGTTGTTGTTGTCATTGCTGTTGTTGCAAATGTTGTTGCTGTTGTTGTTGTTGTTGTTCTTGTTGTTAGTGTTGTTATTGTTGTTGTTGCTGCTGTTGTTGTTGTTGTTGGTGTTGTTTGTTGTCGTCAGCCCCAACCCGTGACCCATCCGCCACCCACCCGCGACCCACCCCGCGACCCACCCCGCGACCCACCTCGCGACCCACCCCGCGACCCACCCGCGACCCACCCGCGACCCACCCGCGACCTAACAACGACCCACCTGCGACCACCCACCTGCGACCCACCCGCGACCCATTTGCGACCCACCCGCGACAGACCCACACTGTTTTTCCGAAAAGATCGGCGCCTGCGGCGGGCTTCCCCAGAGTCTCGCAAACTACCGACGGCCCCAGCGCCCCCTCACTTTTCTCCGCATCTGTTGGGCGTTCCGTAAACATTTGGCGCTCCGCGCGGATTTCCTGGATCTGCGCTGGACCCCCATCAACCGGATTTCGGACCAGGGCAACGTCATAACTTGCATTCCAAAGACCTGCATCCGAGCGCACAGCACGCGCCTGAGAGAGATCTCAGCGTCCAGGCCAGTAGCCCCTCGCGACCTGCACCCAGACCTCCTCGATTCACCATCAGCTGCTCGGTCCACGATCCACGTATAAGCATGGCGGAGGGCTGTCAGAGCAACGCGCAGGCAAGACGAGGACGTATTTCGGATGAAGATACATCGAAGATCTCGGAGCCGGCGGGTGCGGCATACTCAAACGACACATGCGACATCGTAACCGCACATATCTGCTCTGGCAATCGGCGGACTTGCCCCAGGCCGGTTGCCCAGGAGATGTATCGGGCGCCGCGGTAGCCAGAATTCTCTGGAGGTATGCCTCCTCATCCCAGGCTCGAATGCAGTCGGGCAACCTCCGAAACCCCAAGGGAGGACGACGGGGAGGTCGATGGAGGAGGAGGGGGAAAAGGATATAAGGAAATATGAAGGCGGGGGAGGAGGGAGGGAGGCGGCGGAGGACGAGGGAGGCAGGGGGGGAGGGGAAACGAAGGGGGGTGAACGATGATGGAGTGGGGGAGGGGGGAGGGAGGAGGGGGAGGAGGGCAGATGGCGGGAATCAAAGCGATCCACAAACAACCTCCTTTGAGCACTTCGGGGTAGGCATGCCTTGCAAGGCCTTTCCCCCAAAGTAACACGCGCTCGAAAAGCAAGTGGACGTCTCTTGGCATCTCCGCGGAAGCCTCCAGACCTTCCTGCGGAGGTCTCTGGCGGTGCCCTGCGTGTCCCCGGAGGTTGGACACATGGTGCGCCTGGAAACTTGGAGGCTTCGGAGGTGCACAAAAGCCCCCACTGTAAACAAAAACTGTAGTTTCGAGGCGGGACGCTGAAAGAAAAAGAGAAAGAGAGAGAGAGAGAGAAAACAACAAAAAAAAGAGAACGACGACGACGACAACGGCGGCGGCGACGACGACGGCGGCGACGACGACGACGGCGAAAACGACGGCCTCCACCAGCATCTCGATGGAGTTGATACCCTTCTGGGGGAACCTCGGCACGGCACAATGTCGTCGCAGTCCAACAGCCGTCCCTCCCTCGCTCGGTCCCTCCAGTCTTCCCATAATGCTCCCCACCTCCAGGAGAAGGAGGGCAAGGACAGGACAGGACACGACATCCGCACAAAGGGGCCAACGTCAACACACCTAGACTGGTGCCTTGCGCGCGTCTGCAATATCCTCTGCGATTTGGTTATGCACAAGCCTTGGCTTCTCACTAGGGCCGGCAGGGGGCAGACCTCGAAGCTTCAAGAGGTAAGCTCCGAGGTGGCCCCGTGAGAGAATCTCGCCACCTTGTGACTGCGAATCCCTGCGGGTCACGCGGGGGGGGGGGAAAGCTGCTAGCCACGCCGCGTGCCCAGGAAAAGGAGACGCGCTGGGCGAACAGGGCTCCCAAGCTAGGGGGGAAGAGACGACGGCACGACCACCCAAAAGGAGAAGGGGAGGAGAAAGCGGAAACTCCTGCTTCCCAAACTTCTGCTTGGGGGGGCCTCGCTATGCGACTCTATCATGGTGTCTCTTCTCCCTCTCTCTCTCGGCTCACTTGTCTTCCAACATGAACTGGGCGATAGTTGCCCCATGCATTGTCGCACCTGTGCCCTGATACTCTGTTACACTATCCCCCCCCGATGTGTAGGTAGGGGAGACCATGCTGGTAGTCACGGAGCGTTTTAAGCGAAGCCCTCGCGGACGCGCTCGGGTGGCCTTCGCGTTTATCACCGTTCCATCCCCCGCTGTAGTGCACCTATCGGCGATCCAAAAATCACTTCCCATGACGTCGTCTGCGCGAGCTCTCTCTTCAGGGTCCTCACGCTGCTAGCCACGCCGCGTGCCCAGGAAAAGGAGACGCGCTGGGCGAACAGGGCTCCCAAGCTAGGGGGGAAGAGACGACGGCACGACCACCCAAAAGGAGAAGGGGAGGAGAAAGCGGAAACTCCTGCTTCCCAAACTTCTGCTTGGGGGGGCCTCGCTATGCGACTCTATCATGGTGTCTCTTCTCCCTCTCTCTCTCGGCTCACTTGTCTTCCAACATGAACTGGGCGATAGTTGCCCCATGCATTGTCGCACCTGTGCCCTGATACTCTGTTACACTATCCCCCCCCGATGTGTAGGTAGGGGAGACCATGCTGGTAGTCACGGAGCGTTTTAAGCGAAGCCCTCGCGGACGCGCTCGGGTGGCCTTCGCGTTTATCACCGTTCCATCCCCCGCTGTAGTGCACCTATCGGCGATCCAAAAATCACTTCCCATGACGTCGTCTGCGCGAGCTCTCTCTTCAGGGTCCTCACGCCGAGATTGCTCCGCTAGTGATGGCCCCGCAGAGTCTGCTCGCCTGCCAAGATTCGCACCCCGAGATAACATCGCCAATGCACCTCCTGGCGTAGTCTGCTGGCTCCAGTGGGTCACCTCACTTGTGGCCGCTGGAGCTGTCCGCCTTCTCCGATTTGGCGTACTTTTCGAGGATCTCGGTACCATCCAGCAGGGTCTTCGAGCTGCCCCTGAGCCCCTAGCTCTTTTGAGCATTTTTTCGCCTCCCCTGGGTCGAAATTGTCCTCGTTGCTCAGCTCATTCAAGGCCACCTTCATGGCGCTGCAGAGGTCATCCTCGTCACCCTTCGCCATCTTCAGCGCCGACGCGCGCCGGGTCTGCGCGGCGAAGGCCTTCCTCCCAGCTCCTTCACACACGTCCACAGGGCACCCTGTGATTTGATCGCGCCCGTCGACCTTGGGCGTCGTCGGGGCGGCAATTTGGGAACAGCTGGAGAAGCTCCTCTGGGCTCATCTCCTGGCCGGCGTCGTTGGAATTGCAGCGGTTATCCTCGATGGCGCCGCCCAGCGTCTGCGGCGGCCTTTCCGCTGCAAGCGTTTTCGCCTTTTCTTCCACCGTGAGCTCCGCCACCGTTGAAAGTCCCTTCCTGTGGGGCTGGAGCACGGACTTGCATTCGACGCTTGGCCTCTCCCCGCTGTCCTCGCCGAAGTCGTTCTTCAGTTTGCCCGCCCGAAGTTTCATGGGCTCGTCGCCTGGATGTCTCTCCTGCGCCTTCGCGAGCTGTGTCCAGTCCACTATGCGCCGGAACTTTCATTGCGGCCCACTCGAGCTGGGGCTAGGTCCTTGCCGCCGCAACTGGTTAGAGATTGCCAGTCCGCACGAGCAGGCGACGTCCTCCTTTTGCCCAGTCCTGCGGTCATCCTGCATGCGTTGAACAGCTGCATGCCGTCACCCCATGCGTCCGCGAAGTCCAGCGCCTTTAGGCGTGCTGTCTGTCTCTCCCCCATGTTGTTCGCCATCTTGTAGTCTTCCATGTCGTGTATCTCCTTCTCGTTATCCACCGGTTCCTCCTTGGCGGCCTTCAGCGCCTCTCCGTCGTTGACGCCCATGGCCGTGTGCTTGCTCAGCAGGGCGTCGCGTTCTTCTGCGCATCGCAAGGCCTTGGCCATGCTTTCTCCTGCTTTGCTGAAAGCTGCGAAGAAGCGCCCATTCATTTCGATGTCCCCTGCAATGTTTTTTGACATCTCTCTGGACCTCCCCATGGCAATCTTGGAGGGCGCGCCGCTGGATCCCCCCAAAAGGGGAGCGGGGGGGGCCCCCCTCCCCCCCTTCCCCGGTCAGTCGTCGGGGACCCCTCCGCCCTCCCCCCTTCCTCCGATCCGTCGTCGGGACCCCCCCCCCCCCTTCCCCCCTGCCCCATCCGTGTCGCACCCCCCCCCCCCTTTCAACGGGGGTGGGGGGGTGGTAAGGGGGATCGCCCACCCCCCCCTCTCCCCCCCCCCCTTTGGCAGCGCTCCCCCCACCCCCGCCACCGCCCCTTCGCCGCGGCCCTGAACTCCGGAACGACCCCGCCGCCCAAACCCTAGCCCTCACCTGAACCCGAGCCCCGAATCCGAACCCAACCACTAACCCCAGCCCCAAAGAGCACCCACTACTCATTACTCACTACCCACTACTGACTACTCGCTATTCGCAACTCACTTCTCACAACCCCCTACTCACTACTCACGACTCACTACTCACTATCCACTACCCACTACCCACCACCCACTACTCGCTACCCACTACTCCCTACTCACTACTCCCTCCCCCCGACTCACTACTCACTACTCACTCCTCACTGCCCACTACTCCCTACATACTACACACTAAGCACTACTCACTACTCCCTACAAACTACTCCCTACTCACTACTCACTAATCACTACTCATTACCAACTACCCACTATCCACTACTCACTACTCACCACTCACTACTCATTGCCCACAAATCACTACTCACTACCCACTACTCGCAACTCGCTGCTCCCTACACACTGACTACACAGTACTCAGTACTCACTACTCGCTATTCCCATACTCGATACTCAATACTCACTAGCCACTCACCGCTACTCACTACTCACTACCCACTACTCCCTACTCACTAGTCACTACATAGTCTCTAGCCACTAGTCACAGCTCACCAGACACGAGTCACTACTCACTACCCACTACTCACTACTCACTACTCGCTACTCACTACCCGCTATTCGCTACCCACTTCTTACTACTCACTGCTCACTACTCCCTACTCCCTACTCGCTAGTCAGCATTCACTACTCACTACTCGCTACTCCCTGCTCGTTACTCACTAATCACTATCTATACTCACTACTGACTACTCTCTACTCACTTCTCACTACTCACCTCGCCCTACTCGCTCCTCACTGCTATCTACTCGCTACTCCCTACTCGCTACTCAGTACTCACTGCCCACTGCAACTACCCACTACTCTCTATCCATCAGTACTCACTACTCACTACTCCCTAAGCACTACGTACTACTCAGTACTCACTACTCACTACTCACTACTCACAACTCACTACTCGTTACTCACTACTCACTACTCACTCCTCAATACTCACTACTCACTACTCACTACGCACTACGCGCTGCCCACTTCCCACTACTCACTAATCACTACTCGCCACCCACTACTCACTACCCACTACTCATTACTCTATTCCCTACTCAGTACTCACTACTCGCTACTCGCTACTCACTACTCGCCACTGACTACATCCTTAGCAGTACACACTACTCTCTATTCACTACTCACTACTCCCCACTCCCTACTCGCCTTTGACTACCCACTACTCACTACCGAATACTCACTCCTCACTACGCACTAACTCACTACTCACTACTCACCACTCCCTACTCCCAACTCCGCACCCCCTACACACCTTCTCTGGTGCAGAAAGGAGAAGCGAGAGAGCCCCCCCCCCCCGGGCTTCCTTTCCGGCGCCAGGGGGGGGGGGGGGGGGGGATCCGAACTCCCTGCCCCTCTCCAGCGCCAAGGGGAGAAGGGGAAAGGGGGCGGGGTTCGCGAACCCGCCCCCCTCTTACGGAAGAACGGGGGGGGGGGGGCGGGGGCGCGCGCGGGAGGGGGGGGGGGATGGGGGGGGGGGGGGGGGGGCCGAACCCCCCCACCCCGCCTATTGCGTATTCAGGGAGATCCACTGGCGCACTTTCGCAATCTTGTTCCTCTGAGTGCGAGACAAGCGCTTTCGCCGCCTGGATCTGCCCCAGGGACTGGGCTGCCCAGGCGGCTCCCTTTGCTTTCATATTTTGTTCTCGGCAGACTTGCTCTCTCGCTATGTGCTGCCCGCCCCCGTGTCCTAGTTTTTCCCCGTCGCCCCGCGCCCTCTTCCACTGACTTCCCTTGCCTCCTTGATATTTTCCATTCCCGGGCGCAGGGGGGCCACTGGGGCAATGATGACGAGGAAATCGATGGGAAACCGTGGGCATTGAACCCTTTCCCAAGCTTGAGACAATCCTGCGACGGCGACGCGACGATGGCAATCCACTAGGTTGGCGAGACTTCCCGCCGACATTTCACCGCGCAAACATCTCCGATAGGCAAGGGGCGGCGACGACTCGCCCGAAACGCACTCGACAACTCCGGACTGCTGTGTGCTACGTGCAAAGGGGAGGATACGAATAAGCATAATGCATATATCGC